TAAACATGTAATGTTACTTGGTCCACATGAACTTTCCTATTTTTCATTTTTTTTTATTTATTCATTTTATTTGAAAGACAGATAGGAAGACACAAAGATCTTCTATCTGCTGGTTCATTCCTGAAACGCCCACAGCAGCCAGGCCAGGAATCTGGAGCTCGATTCAGGCTGTGCACATGGTGAAAATGACTCAAGTTCTTGAGCCATCACCAGGGTTCATATTAACAGGAAGCTGGTGTCAGTAGCAGAGGCTGGTACTAGAACCCAGACATTCCAACATAAGATGTGGACAACCCAAGCAACATCTTAACTGCTGCACTTACTGCTTACCCATTTTAGTTCTTTGTCGCATCAGACATACAAAAAGAACACAAGGGAATCTCATTACTAAAGGGTGTTTTTTTTTCTTTTCATTTTGCAAAGTGAATAGTTATTACAGTGAGAGGGAAAGCTTAAAAGAAAACATTAACTATTTACTTTGCAAAATAACAAAGAAAAAACATGACACAGTATACTCAGCACGGTGAGCATCTGAAGAGGAAGAAAGGAATCACTGGGTCTAACTTCCCACTGTGATTCCTGCAGTATCTACTACTGCACTGAGCTAGAGTCTAGAGTTTAAAGATATAGTATATACTTTTCATTCACTGTGGCACCACATGCAACTCAACTATTTTATGTGATGGTTAACCAAAAAAAAATTAATATACATTTAGAGATATCAAAGTCTTTTCAAAAATAATTTTAATGTATATGAATTTTATCTAGGCTGTTAAGAACCTAACTCCCACTAAAGGTAACAAACAGCTCCTCTGCAAGTACCTGAAAACTTTCTAGCTCATAATGGCCATAATAAAGCTCTTTTTTTCTTTAAGATTTATTTATTTATTTGGAAGGCAGAGAGAGAGAGAGAGATAGAGACATCTTCCATCCACAGGTTCATCGCTCAAATAACAGCAACATCTGGGGTAGGGTCAGGCCAAAGCCGTGATCCTGGAACTCTATCCTAGTCTTCAACAGGGTAAGCAAGAGCCCAAAACTTGGGCCATCTTTGGCTGCCTTCCCAAGTGCACCAGCAGCGAGCTGGATCGGAAGCAGAGCAACCTGGACTCATGGTACACTCTGATAATGGAATGCCAGCATCTCAAGCGGTGGCTTAACCTGCAGGCCTCCACAGTGAAGTTCTTACAAATTCCAAGAAACTCCCTAGAACTTTCCAATGCCCCCTCCCTTTTCCCTGAGCTTATCTGAGTAGGATTTTGTTCTCTTTACTCCGATACTATTTAAATGATCCTCCTAATCTTAATCTGTCCAAGATTTTTTCATTTATTATTTTTTAAAGGTTTATTTATTTGAAAATCAGAGTTAGAGAGAAAGCAATATTCCACCCACTGGTTCACTCCTCAGATGAATGTAATAGCCAGGGCTGAGCCAGGCTGAAGCCAGGAGCAAGAAGCTTCATCCAGGTCTCCCTCATGGGTAGCAGGAGCCCAAATACTTGGGCTATCTGCTGCTTTTCCCTGGCCATCAGCAGGGAGTTAGATAGGAAATGAAGCAGCCAGGACATAAACTGGCACACATGTGGCAGTTTTACCTACTATTCCACAACAATGGCCCCTGTCCAAGACTTTTTATGACTAACTGTACAGAACAGTGAAAGGTAGCAAAGAACTGTGGACAGGAATTTTATAATCAGACAGTTCTCCTTTGGAATCACAACTCCACGGGTGAGCAGTTCTGTGACTTTGTAGAACTCATTTAACCTCTGAGAATCCCATTTATCTTATTTGTAAAACAGAGGTAATACTACCTACCTCACGTATTAAAAAATGGGACAATGTACATTCAAGTACTTAGTACTGTGCTTGATATTATGGTTTTAATTACTCAATGCAATTATTTGAGTTCCTACTGGACTCACTGTCTCATAGCTTTCACATACTGCCCTAACCAACTGCTCTTAATTTTTAAGTTATTTTTATCAAATTTTATAAAATTTATATGTGGGGGGTATTTCATGCAACAATTGAGTTGCCCCTTGGGACACTAATATCTCACATCCAAGTGCAAAGGGTAAGGCTGAGCTCTGCTTCCGATCCAGCTTCCTGATAGCATGCATCCTGGTAGGCAGCAGACGATAGCTCAAGTAGCTGGGTCCCTCCACTCATATGGGAGACTGGATTGAATTCTAGGCTCCTAGCTTTAGCTGGTCTAAGCCCTAGCTTTTGTAGGGATTTGGGGAGTAAACCAGTGGATGGAAGGTATTTCCTTTACTCTCTGCATTTTGAATAAAATAAATACATAAGCAGGTAAACAAAGTACTAACAAAGTCAGATTTATGTGAACCATGGGTTGCTTTTCTAGACGCACAAAGTTACTTTAGTATCACCAGATCAGTTTGAGGCCAGACAACAATATTCCCAATGGTGTTATATTAAACTAAAAAGTGATATGCATCCCTCTTCTCTTCCTTCTAAAATTTATTTTAAATAGTGGGGCAAATCTTAGAAAATACTACCTTTTAAGACACAAGAGCTATAAAGGTTAATAAATCATGCTCATGAAAACTTCTAGCAAACTTTAAAATGACAACATTATACCTAATAGGTAAATGCTGCTTCCAGAATTTTCATGTTTCAAAGATCAGTTTTATATATACTATCAAATAAAAGTCTCTATCCCAGTGCAGTCTCTAATATGATCTCCAAGAATTACATTAAAATTATAATGTAGATTTCTGCTTTTGGAGAGCTGGCACACTTAAATCCTTCAGCAAACTTACACTGGTTTCTAAGAATGCACTTAATAAATTATCTTAAAATAATCCTCAAATCTTATTTTAGACCAAATTTTTAAAGCCATTTGTTATATCACCTTTTGTTAAAACTACTAAAAAGAAAAACTGGTACTTTAAAACTTTTCCATCTGTCTTCTGGTTAAGACATACTGGGGGAAAAGTAAGCCAACTGACTGATGGTAAACAGATATTTTACATACATATAACAATTAACAGCTTTCAACTTTACTCTTAAAGATACCTCACTTAATTCTTACAAGCATGTAAGAAACATACTTTTATTCTCACTTAACAAAAATGAAATTTAAATTCATTAAATCACACATAGAAAGTAGGACCTAAATTTTCTTACTTCTAATGTAAACTCTTTCTACTTCCTCACATTGCCTTTCACCTGGAATGCTTACAATACTATGATCTAAATAACAATTCTCATCAGATGTAAAGAAAAGAATATTAAAATGGGGTAGAATGGATAAAACAGGAAAATCATGAGTTATATTTTGTTATTTAAGGAGAGATTTTAGTGTACAGATTCTAATCTTTCAATAATTTCATCAGGGGCTGGTGCTGTGGCACAGCAGGTTAACGCTGAAGTGCCGGCATCCCATATAGGCGCTGGTTCTAGTCTCAGCTGCTCCACTTCCCATCCAGCTCTCTGCTATGGCCTGAGAAAGCAGTACAAGATGGCTCAAGTCCTTGGGCCCCTTGCACCCGTGTGGAAGACCTGGAAGAAGCTCCTGGCTCTAGGCTTTGGATCGGCGCAGCTCCGGCCGTTGCGGCCCACTGGGGAGTGTACCATTGGATGGAAGACCTCTATCTCTGTCTCTACCTCTCCCTGTAACTCTTTCAAATAAATAAAATAATAAACCTTTTTAAAAAATCTCATCAGAGGCCGGCGCCGCGGCTCACTAGGCTAATCCTCCGCCTAGCGGCGCTGGCACACCAGGTTCTAGTCCCCATCGGGGTGCCGGATTCTGTCCCGGTTGCCCCTCTTCCAGGCCAGCCCTCTGCTGTGGCCAGGGAGTGCAGTGGAGGATGGCCCAGGTGCTTGGGCCCTGCACCCCATGGGAGACCAGGAAAAAGCACCTGGCTCCTGGCTCCTGCCATCGAATCAGCGCGGTGCGCCGGCCGCAGCGCGCCGGCCGCGGCAGCCATTGGAGGGTGAACCAACGGCAAAGGAAGACCTTTCTCTCTGTCTCTCTCACTGTCCACTCTGCCTGTCAGAAAGAGAGAAATAGAAAGAATCTCATCAGAGAATGCTTGAGAGGTTATAAGGAAATGGAGACACAGGCACTTTATTTGCAAATCATCTGTGGGTGCATGTGCAGTGCTTTTTTCTTGTCTTAAATGTCTGTCTGAGTCACAGTGCAAATTATAACTTCTTAGATGAGACTCCTCTTTGCAGTTATGCCCTTGGGAAATAAATTCACAACCCTTAAAATACTTTGTAAATAAACAGGTTGACAAAAGAAAGATTCTTTTATATATAGAAGACATAACAAGTTAAACCTCTCTGGAGAAATAGAAATTTCATCTATGTGGCCAAACATACATCTTTATTCACATACAGACACTATAAAAGGCCTCTTAACTTTGGCAAGCAGGAAGATTAATAAGGGTAATGATACCCTTTCAAATAAAAGAGGTGAACAACAGAAGGGTGGGTGGGAATGAAGGCTCTGCATGGTGGGATCAGGCACAGTTTGAATGAATAACATTTTCCCAAGGGCAGCTTAATAGAGCATAAACAGTGCATCCTGATCAGAATAAATAAAATAACAGACTTCAAGGGATTCTGAAGGTCAGAGTTAATAAAACATCTTTTCCCTTAAAGCTTTCTACCCTTTTAAAAAATTAATAATTTCCTACCAAGACTCAAACAGAAAAACTGAGGGAAGAAAAAGGAATGTTCTCCATAATACAATCCCCCTCAAACCTATGCATGCTGCATATGCACATGCATCATTCTCAAATTCATATGGCAAAGCCATTTTCCTTCAGCTCCGTATTACCCAAAGGTTCATATTTCATGCTAGAATTTAAAACACAGTATAAAAGCTCTATCTACATCAACTGGTGTAACTGGTATGCATGCATGTATGTAAGTATGTATTTTTACATATGCATGTACATATGTATTTATTTTTACTCGTTTTCCATATGTGACAATGTCCAGCATTACTTACACCTTAATATTTACCTGAACCTCTGAATTAGAGTCAATAGGCTGTAGTGAAAACCAAGTTTCTTTGCCACTGTGGTTACTCAAGTCTTCTTTTTTGATGGCTACTTTTCCTGTAGAAAATAAATAAAACAATGAGAAAACATATTTTGTATACTCCTAAGTCTCATTAGTACTGTTTTTGTACTTAGTGGAAGATATTTTAAAATAATTTATACCTAAATTTTTTAATTTAAAAAATCTCTTTATAAAGTAGTTTTCTATATTTTAAACATGAAAGTATATCATTTCACTTTACCCCTTGGCAGACCTTTCTCTGGATCATTCTGAATCAGAGGATTAGATAAAAATTCAGTTGTATTTATAAGCAACTACACTTTTTAGTACTTATTCAGATTCATGCTTTTACCCAGAATCCATTCCGTACAAAAAGCTATGTACAATGGCAGTGGAACCAACTCTTCTCAATTCTTTAATACTATCAATAAATTCTATGTTCAGGTTAATTTTAAGCAGATATATTTGGAATTAAGAATTTTAAAGTTCCAATTAAGAGAAAAGAGAATCATAAACCACCAACAAAATTGAAAAGAAATTTGGAGATCGATGATGAAAACAATTTCATTTTTAAAAATCACTTATTAAAATAGCAAGCACTGTGTTGCTTCAGTGCATACAAAAACTAAGACAGTTCCCTAAAGAATTTCTCTCTTAGGGAAATATACAGTACAATGAACAAAGTAGTATGAGAGGAAGAAGCAGAAATGTTCTTACTATAATGTCTTGTTATACAAAGCATTTCCTTCCTCAATTCAATATTTAAGTAGACACAGTTTTGCATATGACGATTATTTATTCCAAGATTCTACAAAAAAGCTTCAACAAAAGTTAAAAACAGATCACTTTCTTACACTTTGTCAAGTAAGAACCCTTTGACCTACTATATAACTTGGTTTTTTGGTTCAATATTCAGTATTTGAAAATTTTAAGAAAAATGTAAAGAAACTTTGTCATGTTATGCCAACTTATGTGTATCAAATGAAAAAGAAAAGAATGACATGAAAACTATTGTTAAAATTTTATTTTGGAATTAACTGGTGAAAATAGTTACACAACTCTATGAATATACTAAAAATCTGGGGCCTGCATTGTAGCACAGCAAGTTAAGCTCCCGCCTGTGACATCAGCATTCCAGTTCAAATCCCAGCTGTATCACTTCCTATAGCTCCCTGCTAATGTGCCTGGGAAAGCAGTGCAAGATGGCCCATGTACTTGGGTCCCTGCCACCCAAGTGGGAGGCTCAGATGGAGTTCCAGGCTCCTGGTTTTAGACTGGCCTAAGCCTAGCGCAGCCATTCGCAGAGTGAACCTGTGGAAAGAAGGTGTCTCTCTGTCTTTCTTTGGAACTCTGCCTTTCAAATAAATAAAATAAATCTTTAAATATACTTACATATATTTAAATATATAAAATATATATAAAAATCAATGTGTTATAAACATTAAGATGTTCTTTAAAGTTTGAAATAATTTTAAACTTGGAGAAAGGTTTCAAGAACAGTACATAAAACTTCCATATTTTTTACCTGGATTGCCTAATTGTTAATATTTACCACACTTCTCTTTTTCTAATGTATTTGATGCTTTTTCTACACCACTGAAGAACAAATTGCAAATATGACATATAATTTTTTAAAAATATTTATTTGAAAAAGTTACACAGAGAGAGGAGAGGCAGAGAGAGAGAGGTCTTTCATCCACTGGTTCATTCCCCTATTGGTCACAACGGCTGGAGCTGCGCCGATCCAAAGCCAGGAGACAGGTGCTCCTTCCGGGTCTCCCATGCGGGTGCCGGGGCCCAGGGACTTGGGCCATCTTCTACTGCTTTCCCAGGCCATAGCAGAGAGCTGGATTGGAAATGGAGCAGCCGGGACGAGAAATGGCGCCCATATGGGATCCCGGCACTTCAGGCCAGGGTGTTAACCCACTGCGCCACAGTGCTGGCCCCTCATAGCTCTTATTCTTAAGTTCCTTTAAAGGACTCAGTTTCTGATATGTAAAGATTTAGTTGCGTGAGGTTAGTTGGCCTGAAGAAGCAGGGAAAAGCACGTGGTACCAAGAAACTATCTGAAGTCATTTGGTAATATACCTACAACAGGTCCTACATTTTATTAGGCAATATGTCGTGAAAAAATAATGGTATCATCCCTAGAAAATAAAACAGGGCAAAGCATGGCAGAAAGACAGAATGAAAGAGAAAGGTAAGAGAGTGAATGCAGCCAGTATAAGGAAGGGAAAAGGGTGGAACAAATTTCTGAAATACAAGTTAAATCCAAGAAAAAAGAAAACTATCATTTTGATAAACAAACTGGAAGTCATTAAATGTAAGATGTATACAATCTGATACAGTGGAAAGAGCAAGGAATTGAAAGTAAAGTCAGTGCTTAATGAAAATATACCAGGTGGTAGACATTAATATGTATTTTTTTGCTTAATTATTGTAACAGTCTTGGAGGTAAAGGGTCTAATCACCATTTTACAAAAGTGAAAACTGAGCAATATTTAAAAACCTGCCAACCAACAAGTACTAAAGCCATATTTCACAATCAATGTATGCCTTTCCATGTTCCTTCCAACATAAACACTAACTCTGTAGCCTAGTGTAATCTTGGGTTCATTATTTGAACTTTCTACAGCTGATATGCCTCCTCTGCATCAAAGATAACTTTTGGTTCTAATGATCTTAAACACTTATTTTGTGGGGCTGGTGCTGTGGTACAGCAGGTTAAGCTGACACTTGTGATGCCAGCATCACATACCGGAATCCCAGTTCGAGTCTCAGCTACTCCATTTTCAATCCAGCTCCCTGTTAATGTGCCTGGGAAGGCAATGGAAGATGGCTCAAGTACTTGGGTCCATACCACCTATAAGGGAGATCAGATGGAGTTCCTGGCTCCCAGCTTCTTCCTGGCTCAGACCTGGCTATTATGGCCATTTGGAGAGTAAACCAACAGATGGAAGAGCTCTTTCTGTCTCTTCCTTTCTGACACTCTGCCTTTCAAATAAATAAATCTTAAAAAACAAAAATCAAGATTGTTTTAGGTCAATGTTTACTATTTTAAACAAAGTTAACTCACTATTTCGTTAGCCAGGAAATCACTAACCTCAACCAAAAAAATCACCCAAGAACAAACTTCCCAACAAATCATTTGAAGGTATTATTTCATTTCCTCACTGTCCTGACAAGCTCAGAGACAGAAGGAACTCAAAACGGAACATACACACACCAAATGCTGTATTAGTTCCTTAAAAATCACACAAGGAGAGGAAACACAAAAAGAAATGAAGGAACTGTGGGCACAGAAACCATTTATGTTATCTCTAAATGTTCTTAGTTTTCCAGTATCACTTTTAAGCAGCATTTTCTTGCCATCAATAATACTGTGTTGTCCTCGCCTCCATTTTTAGATAGAATGCATTTTAGGAATTTCAGTCTTAAACAGATCACCAATGGACAAAATCTTGATAGCCCTATTCCTACTTGGGCATTAGTAGAAATGGAGTGACACCAATGTGACCCTATACAAGGCGAAAAAGGACCAGGAGACTAAACAAATTCTGGCAGAATACTCAACAACAGCAATTCAAAACCAATGGCAGGCCGGCGCCGTGGCTCACTAGGCTAATCCTCTGCCTGCGGCGCCAGTACCCCGGGTTCTAGTCCCAGGTGGGGCGCCGGATTCTATCCCGGTTGCTCCTCTTCCGGTCTAGCTCTCTGCTGTGGCCCAGGAAGGCAGTGGAGGATGGCCCAAGTGCTTGGGCCCTGCACCTGCATGGGAGATCAGGAGGAAGCGCCTGGCTCCTGGCTTCAGATTGGCGCAGTGCGCTGGCCATAGCAGCCATCTGGGGGGTGAACCAACAGAAGGAAGACCTTTCTCTCTGTCTCTAACTCTGCCTGTCCAAAAAAAAAAAGGCAGCATGTGGCAACTTAGGGTAACAGGGTTTAAGTGGCAGAAAGCTATATTCATTGCCTCCAAAAAACCATGCTTCCTGTACCTTTGCCATTGTGTGGTCCCCCTCCAGCACTATCTCTGGGGTTGACTTGTTTTTGCCGTGAGATATGAGCACCTGTGATACAGGACAAGAACCTGACCTCTTAGAACCCTGAGATCATGTGGAGGGCAGGGTCCAGAAAATAACCAGTATCAACCATAGTACATAAATCAGACCATCCAGTTCCAATCAGTCTCCCAAATAACAGCTTATTAGTGACTTCAGGTGAGACCATTGGAAGAATCATCCAGCTGAGCCCAGCATAAAATGACAACCCACAGGCTTGTAAATTAATCTACGGTTGCTATATTAAGCCATGATATATTAGAGTGGTTTGTTATGAAGTAAGAGATAACTAGTTACAGTCTCTGTGCAAACAGACATCAAAAGAGTAGTCATAGGTAATACCTGAACAGTAGATGACCCTTAACGGCTAAATTGTAACAAATTATAATTCAAAGAGTTGGAAGACCTTAGCTATCTGGAATCTAGCCTTATGTTACAGATGAGCCAGGCCTAAGAAAGTCAAGTCACACAGAGAACAATAAAGATATGACTGAAATTTGGGTCTCTTAGTTTATTCTAGTGAAAACCTTTTATCTCCGTAGAATTCTGAAGCAGGGGAAAAGAAAAAAAAAATGGCATTGAAGGCTACTAGCTTATAGTTCACTTGTCTAAACTCCAGATTCCTTGAAAAATAAATTAAGTAGAATATACACATTAGGAGTTATAATATTTATATTTTAATTTCAGTATTATTAGAATAATTATTGGAAATGGAAATATATACCTAAATTTATCTTTTTTCCTTTTACAGAAAAGACGATCCTATACCTTAGGAAAATATATTACACAGTAAGGATGCCTTAACTTTACAGTTTCCTATCTTTTTGCAGTATGGACCTTGGTCTCAAGATTTTAATTAATTCATAATTCAGTTTTTATACTAACTACTCATATACAGATAACTAATATGAAAAATTATGCTCCTTATTGATAATTTTGGGGAAAGAGATTTGGATAGGGCAGTAGGAAAAGTAAATTTAGCATTATCTATAATGCCATAGTTTAATATTTTTTACAGAAAGATATCCATATATTTATATAATTGAAAACAAAAATAAACTCTTAACGCTATAGTCAATTAGTGCACACACTCAGACTTTAAGGTTAAAAGATAGTTCTCTACAACGAGGTTTCACCTCACCCCAGTTAGAATGGCTCTCCTACAGAAATCAACAATAAACACTGGAAAGAATGTGGGGACAAAGGTACCCTATTCCACTGTTGTAAGAATGTAAACTGGTACAGCCATTGTGGAAAACAGTATACAGATACCTCAGAAATCTGGAAATAGATCTACCATATGACCCAGTAATCCCACTCTTAGGAATTAACACAACAAATTAAATCAGCAGATGAAGGAGTTATCTGTACTCCCATGTTCACCACAGCTCAATTCACAATAGCTAAGATAAGCCAGATATCCATCAACTGATGTACTGGATAAAGAAATTATGATATATATATACACTATGGAATACTACTCAGCAGTTTAAAAAAAAAATCATGTCTTTTGCAACAAAATGGATGTAACCAGAAACCTTTAAACTTAAAGAAATAAGCCAGTCCCAGAAAGAGAGATACCACATGTTTTCCCTGATCTATTGTAACTAATAGAGTACTTAAAATGTAATGTTTTGGAGTGAAATTGACATTTTGAGATTTGATGATCATTTAAAGCCCTTGTCTCTACTGTTAAGGAACAGTGAACTTTTTACTTAGTGAGGGGTTAATCTCACGATTATAAAGTAAACTGAAAATAGTTCTTTGTAAAAATTAAGAGTGGGAATAGGAAAGGGAGGAAGGAGGGTGGGAGTATGGGTGAGAGGAGGGTAGGGTGGGAAGTATAACTATGTTCCTAAATCTGTATATATGAAATACACAAAATCTGTACACCTTAAATAAAATTTTTTAAAAAAGGCCAGTGCTATGGCATAGTGGGTAAAGCCTGCAATGCTGGCATCCCATATGGGGGCCGGTTTGAATCCCAGCTGCTCCACTTCCAATCCAGCTCCCTGCTAATGCACCTGGGAAAGCAGCAAAAGTTGGCCCAAGTTCTTGGGGTCCTGCACCCACATGGCAGACCTGGAAGAAGTTCCTGGCTCCTGGCTTTGGATCAGCTCAGCTCTGGCTATAGTGGCCTTTTGGGGAGTAAACTAGTGAGTAGAAGACCTCTCTCTCTCTCCGCCTCTGCCTCTCTGTAACTTTGTCTTTCAAATAAAAATAAGTGAATCTTTTAAAAAAATTAAAAAACAATTTTTAAAAGATGGTTTAATCAACTCTAGCTCCAATTTCACTTCCAGAAATGTTTTCTCACTGTTAAATTCTCAAATGGGAAACTCAAAATTAAAGGAATTCAATTTCTAATAGCTCAAAATTTAAAACTAAAACAACCCTTCTGAGTTAATGACAAAAGAAAAATTTAAAAATGTTAAAAATTTATGAATAGGAGCAGGCATATGGCCTAGTGGTTGGTTAAGAAGCCAGTTAAGGGGCAGGTGTTGCGGTACAAAGCATTAAACCACTGTTTGGGATGCCCAGATCCTGTATCAAAGCACCTAGAACTGAATCCCGCCTCCACTTCCGATTCAGCATTCCTGCTAATGCACACCCTGGGAAGCAGAGATGATGGCTCAAGTATTTGGGTCCCTACCATTCACAATGGAGATCTGGATGGAATTCCTGGCTCTGGCCTGGTCCAACACTGATTGTTGGGAGTTTTTGGGAGTAAATCAGTGGTTGGAAGAGCGTGCGTTCTCTTTCTTTCTCACGCTCTGCCTTTCAAATAAATAAAAATAAATAAATACTTAAGTTAACCCCCAAAAAAGCCAGTTATGTCTCCATGCTACATCAGAGTACCTGGGTTTGATTCTTAGCTTCAGCTCCTTACTTGCTACAAATAAATTACTCTGCATAACAAATGGTACACTTTTTAGAACTCACCAGAAAGATAACACTAACACACACTCTGCATTAGTGACCACTCAAGTAACCAGGTTCCTACTATCCATGTGAGAGATCAGGACTGAGTTCCCAGCTCCTGGCCCAGCCTAGCCTCACTGCAGGCATTCAGGGAGTAAACCAGAAGATAGGAGTGCTCTCTTGCTATTTCTCCCTCTCCTCGTTCCCTCATTTAGGAAAAAAGAAAAAAGATCTACAAAAATTTATGCGGAAGGAAAAAAATGCCAAAAATTAGGAAACAAATGTTCATCAACAAGGTAGTGGTTATCATATATTTTGTACAAAAGATTTTATATATTATATGGCAAGCGTTTTTGAAAAATACATTAGTGATACAAGAAAAGGATACTAATATAATAAACGAAAAAGGAAAAAATGGAACAGTAAAGTGTGATAAGTACATGGGATAAAGAATGGGAAGAAATATACCAAGTTATAAACTGTAGTTGTTCTTGTGCAGTGTCACTGGTAATCACTAGAACACGTGATAGTTTTATAATTAAGGAAAAAATCCTCAATTTTAAAATGTTATTTGATTTACTTTAAAATAATTTTGGCAAATTTCAAAAATGATGTTTGTCAGAAAATGAAGAAACCAGATTACAGAGATTTGAAGGAAATAAGTAGCAAGCATCTGTAAGAAAAACCTCAAAATATAGGTCTTTGGAGGAATCAACACTGCAATCTCTATATATAAAACTACTGCCAGCACTGTGGTGTGCCGGGTAAGGACACCGCCTACAGTGCCTGCATCCCATATGGACTCCGGTTCGAGTCCGGACTGCTCCACTTCCTATCCAGCTCTCTGCTATGGCATGGGAAGGCAGTAGAAGATGGCCCAAGCTCTTGGGCCCCTACACCCGTGTGGGAGACCCAGAGGAAACTCCTGGCTCCTGGCTTCAGATCAGCACAGCTCCGGCTGTTGCAGCCAGTTGGAGAGTGAACCAGCGGATGGAAGACCTCTCTCTTGCTCTGCCTCTCCTTCTCTCTCTGCGTAACTCTTTCAAGTAAAATAAATAAATCTTAAAAAAAAAAAAAAAAAGGCACGCTGGGTTCTAGTCCCGGTCAGGGCGCCGGATTCTGTCCTGGTTGCCCCTCTTCCAGGCCAGCTCTCTGCTGTGGCCAGGGAGTGCAGTGGAGGATGGCCCAAGTGCTTGGGCCCTGCACCCCATGGGAGACCAGGAAAAGTACCTGGCTCCTGCCATTGGATCAGCGCGGTGCGCTGGCCGAAGCGCGCCGGCTGTGGCGGCCATGGAGGGTGAACCAACGGCAAAAGGAAGACCTTTCTCTCTCTCTCTCTCTCTCACTGTCCACTCTGCCTGTCAGAAAACAAAACAAAACAAAGCAAAACAAAACAAAACAAAAAACCTGCTACTTGAACTATTCAATAAGTGCTTACTGAACATTTGCTAAATATAAGGCACTCTGAGACATAATCCCTGCCCCTCAAAATACATTTATATAGACAACCCAGATTTTAAACAATGAACTAATGAACAAGCATAAATGAGAACTATGGAAAGGAGGCCATCAGGTAGCATAGTAACATATGACACAGTGAGTAAGGGCTCAGCAAGGGTCTCTTTGAGAAGGGTCATCTAAGCTGAACATAAAAGCTGAAAGTCAAATCCACACGGTGGGCATTTGGTCTAGTGGTTAAGAAGTTAGTGAAGATGCCCACACTCCACATCTGTGTACCTGTGTTCAATGCTCAACTCTGGCTTCTGCCTCTAGCTGCCTGCTAACGCAGACGCTGGGAGGCAGGTGTGATGGGCTCAAGTAATTACGTCCCTGCCACCTATATGTGAAACCTGGATTAAGTTTCCAGCTCCTGATCGTGGTCTAGCCCTGGCTGTTATGAGCATCTAGGGAGTCAAGCAGCAAATGGAATCTTTCCTTCTATATATCTGTCTGACAAATAAATAAATTTTTAGAAAATCAAATTCACAACTGAACATGATATCTAGAGAAAATGGCTATAAATGTTGAGCACATATTTTTATGCAGTTTATTTAATATTTTATAGAGAAACAATAAATATTAATATCAAGGCTGTGATAAGAGATAATTATGAATGGCACATACCTATACGAAGATCTCTTTGTAAAACATTTTTATCATAAACATAGAATGACAAATACTGGAAAGTTCTTGGAATCTCAAAGTAAAATTCTTCACTGAAAAATGGGCTAGAGAGAAAAGAGAGGAAGCTCATTACTTTATAATAGCAAATAAATAACTGATTAGTATCACTATCAGTAATTGTGCTGTTAATACTACTTTCAATAAAATCAGTGAAATTACACACTAAAAACTCTACAGAAGCAAAGAAATCATTCTCAATGCTAACTTTCAATGATATACCCTATACAAAGCAGGCTGAACTGACAGGATTTCAGTTGCCAGGATGTGTTTGGAACAGAAAGTTTTTCCAAAGTCCTGTGGACAGAGGACACAGTAATTGCCTGGGATCAATGTTTACTGAAAGTGGACATAAAGGGGAGCTGAGGACAATGTCATTCACTTCATCATCTTAGAAATATGTAAAGCCATATGAATCACAATAATACATAGCACCTAAAATGAGTAATGTTACCTAAAATATTACTTTAAAAATACATTTTAAAAATTGAAACAGGTTATTTTATAATCAGTCTTATTGAGGTATACACTGCATAGAATTACATCCCATTTAGGGTTGATGCCTTTTGATATATGTATACATCTGTATAACCTCCACCCCAATCAAAATACAGAACACTGCTATCTTCCCCAAAGTTCCCGTATGCCTCTCTGCAGTCACTCCACCACACCTGCCACAGATAACCAGCAATCTGATTTCTAGCACTATACATCTTTTCTAGAATTTCATATAAATGAGTGATTGTATGTACTCCTGTATCCAGCTTTTTCCACTAACATTAATGTCTGCAGGATTTTTCCCATGTTATTGCATATATAGTAGTTTACTTATATATAGTAGTTTACTACTGCACAGTATTCTACAATCCATTCTCCTAGTGATGCCATTTGAATTGTTTCCAGTTTGGAAACTATTAAAAGTAAACATGCTATGAACATTTTTATACAAGGCTTTTCTTGGACATAAGCTTTCAATTCTTTGGGATAAGTAACTGAGAGGAGAATTATTGAGTTAAAGGGTAGATGAAATGTTTATAACTGCCAAACTGTTTTCCATGGTGGCTGACCATTTTACACTCCTACTAGCAATGTATGAGAGAATTACAGTTGTTCCAGATCTTGGTATTTGACAATCTTTTTAATTTTAGCTCTTCTGGGCCTGCGCTGTGGCAATAGCAGGTGGAGCCGCTATCTGAGACGTCGGCATCCCATATGGGTGCCAGTTTGAGCCCCAGGTGCTCCACTTCTGATTCAGCTCCCTGCTAATGTACCTGGGAAAGCAGTGGAAGATGGCCCAAGGCCTTGGGTCCCTGCACCCACATGGGAGACCCAGAGGAAGCTCTTAGTTCCTGGCTTCAGCCTGGCCAAGCCCAAGGCTGTTGTGGCCATTTGGAGAATACCTCTCTTTGTCTTTCCCTCTCTTTCTAACTCTGGCTTTCAAATAAATTAATTAATTTAAAAAATTTTTAGCTATCCTAGTAAATGGAACATGATAAATGTATACATCTGTATAATCTCTACCCTAATCAATATAGAAAACATTTCAAAAGAAAAAAAAAGTCTCTGTTCTTTAAAAGAGATCATCAAGAAAATTTATTTTTTATTTATTTTTTTTGACAGGCAGAGTGGACAGTGAGAGAGAGAGACAGAGAGAAAGTCTTCCTTTTGCTATTGGTTCACCCTCCAATGGCCGCCATGGCCGCCGCGCTGCGGCTGGCGCACCGCACTGATCCGATGGCAGGAGCCAGGTACTTCTCCTGGTCTCCCATGCGGGTGCAAGGCCCAAGGACTTGGGCCATCCTCCACTGCACTCCCTGGCCACAGCAGAGAGCTGGCCTGGAAGAGGGGCAACCGGGACAGAATCCGGCGCCCCACCTGGGACTAGAACCCGGTGTGCTGGCGCTGCAAGACGGAGGATTAGCCTATTGAACCGCGGCGCTGGCCTGGAACAGAGATTTTAAAATTAGTGCTTTCTACATCCTAAGTAATCTTTGCCTACCCCTAAACTATAAAGAATTTCTCCTATGAGTAGCTTATTTTTATATGTTCATTTTAATAATGCTACTTTGATGTTACGGAGAATATTCAAAAAGTTAAAGCAAAATACCTATCATGAAAAAACTACGCATGGATCTCCAAATTTTTTGCACTACAATAAACTTATCTTTTACTTTCATTTTCCATAAATTTTTGAGATGCCTTCATATTTAAATTCCTACATGAAGACATGACTCTCTGAAATGCTAGTGAACATCTCTTGTCAAGTATCTCTTTTCTGAGAATGAGTTTCATTTAAACAATGGTTCATTTTAAAGTGTTTCTAGGATGAAATATCTTTAGATGGCATTAGAAAAGCTAAAATGTTCCTTCAGAAGTCATTTCTGACCTTGTATAGAAAAGACTCAGCTTTTTAGTTGTTACAGCACCTGCTCAACTTCTGCATATCCTTTACTTCAAATACAGCCAAAGTAAACTTTTTAAAGTTGGTCTGTCAATGCAACTAGCATCTTCTAATTAGTGTTTACACAAAAATCAATGAAAAAAACTATTAGGCAGACATAAAATGTGTAGGTACTTCTCTCCTCTGTATCATTTTAGAAACAATTATGAAATGGAAAGTGTCCTTCATATACCACATGTAAATATTAAAGTAAATTCTAAAACCAACTAAGAACATGAGAATTATTTAGTTGTATCACTGCAATCTCAACAACCTAATCTCTTCAACTGGGAGCTCACAGCTTTATTTTATAAAATAATCGATCGATCGATCCATTTGAAGAAAACTCTAAAAAAGTTGACAAGAAGGGGCTGGCACTGGGTCGTAGTGGATAAAGCCACCACCTGCAATTCTGGCATCCCATATATGGATACCAGTTTGAGTCCCAGCTGCTTCATTTCCGATCCCGCTCCATGCTAATGCACCTGGGAAAGCGGTGGAAGATGGGCCAAGTCACTGGGCACCTGCACCCACATTGGGAAACTTAGATGAAGCTCCTGGCTCTGGCCTGGTACAGCCCTGACAATTGTAGCCATCTGAGGAGTAAACCAGCAGATGGGAGATCTCGCTCTCGCTCTCTGTCTCTGCCTCTCCTTCTCTGTAACTCTTTCAAATAAATAAATAAATCTTTAAAATGAAAAAAAAAAAAACATTGACAAGCAGCAGCTGTGATTAGACTTGTATTGTTTTTAAAACAACTCTGTACTGGTTATCACTGACCTACTATCATGTGTATGACTCCTGAGGAAATTCCTGATGTGGTATGAGTAGTGCTGCTATTACTCAACTATTTCCTAAAAGGATTTGAAGGAGAGGTTTAGAAGCTATAACTTCCTTATCTAACTCCTACTCATTTGCTACAAAAACTCTGTATCCAGACTATCCACAACCCATAAAAGATCTAAATGACATGTACTGACTTTTGGCTTAACAGCTTATCACAACATTCACAAGGTAGAGAACACTGAACTGAAAACCAGGAGACCAAGATTGTTTCACTTGGGCCAGCATTGTGGTGTAGCAGGTTAAGTTGCTGCCTATGAAGCCAGCATCCTACATGGGCACCGGTTGCAGTCCTGACTGCTCCACTTTCCATCCAGCTCCTTGCTGATGGCCTGGGAAAGCAGCAGAGAACAGCCCAGGTGCTTAGGTCCCTGCTCACACACGAGCTAACACACACACGAGACTCACAATAAGCTCCTGGCTTCAGCCCAGCCCAGCCCCTGCTGTTGCAGCCATTTGGGCAGTGAACCAGTAGATCTCTGTGTCTTCCTCTTTCTCTCTATAATTCTGCCTTTCAAATCAATCAATCAATCAATCTTAAAAAAGAGATTGATTCTTTCACTCCATTACATAAGGGAAAACATTGGGGGTAGGGGAAGGGGCTGCTCCCAGAATCCAACAGCATCTAATCTAATTACAGCTGGCCTTAAAATAATTTACAAGCTGCTATGCATCTAGAAAAATAAAACTGGTTTTATTGTTTTCCCAGCACAAATACTCAGAAAGGCAAGAGAAAAAAAAGAAATGATATGCTAATTTTACTTACACATTTATAAGCTTATATTTTAGAAACTATCACAAATATTTAACTTATAGAAATTACTAGTTAGTTCTGTTTATCACTGATTACTGTGTAGTACAGAATAACTGTACAATAAAGGAACAAATTGAGGTTTAAAAAATTATTTGAGAAAGAGAACTCCCATTTGCTGGTTCATCCCCCAAATGCCTGTGACAGCTGGGGCCAGGTGGAAATCAAGCCCACATGGATGGCAGGAATCCAGTCATGGAAACCATCATGTCTGCTTCACAAGATCTGCATCAGCAGGAAACTGGAGTCAGAAGCCACCTATATATGGCATCAAAACAAAGAACTACCGAATTGGATTCAGGTGTCTCAAACTGTGACCCAACCTGTGACCCAACCACCAGGCCAAACATCTCTCCCCTTCTTTTAAAAATTACAGTAGAGGCCGGCGCCGTGGCTCACTAGGCTAATCCTCTGCCTGCAGCGCCAGCACACCGGGTTCTAGTCCCGGTCGGGGCACTGGATTCTGTCCCAGTTGCCCCTCTTCCAGGCCAGCTCTCTGCTGTGGCCAGGGAGTGCAGTGGAGGATGGCCCAAGTGCTTGGGCCCTGCACCCCATGGGAAACCAGGAGAAGCACCTGGCTCCTGCCTTAGGATCAGCGCTGTGCACTGGCCGCGGTGGCCATTGGAGGGTGAACCAACAGCAAAGGAAGACCTTTCTCTCTTTCTCTCTCTCTCTCTCACTGTCCACTGTGCCTGTCCAAAAAAAAAAAAAAATTATAGTAGAGGGGCTGCCATTGTGGCATAGCAGGTTAAGCCATGGCCCTGTAGCACCAAAACCCCATTTAGGCACCAGATCGAGTCCCAGCTGTTTCACTTCTGATCCAGCTCCTTGCTAATGCACCTGGGAAAGCAGCAGAAGATGGCCTAAGTCCTTGGGCCCCTACACCTATGTGGGAGACCAGGAAGAAGCTCCTAGCTCCAGGCTTTGGCCTGGCCCAGCCTCGGATTTGCAGCCATTTCGGAAGTGAGTCAGTAGATGTAAGATATCTCTGTTTCTCCTCCTAACTCTGCCTTTTTCAAATAAATAAATATTTTTAAAAAATTGTAATAGAGACAGGGAGGGTAGGAGGAATGGGGAGGAGTCAACTTACAGTTATTAAGTTTTGTTTACTGAATACTATATAATATAGAATCAGTGTACATAAAAGCAACAAATAGAGATTTAAATGCTTAAGGTCCCCAATTTTTGCTTCTAACTTAATTATATGATAAATTCTTCAGCCTGTTAGTGACTCAGTTTCATCATTTATAAATGTAAATTACATATTTATAAATTTATCATTACAAATAGTCATGAAAATTCTAATAAAACAGGGACAGCTGACTAAAGATGCTCAGTATTACTAAAGTATTTCCAGTGTTATATATACTACCTGTCCTATGAAGAACTATACTGACATTCAAAATTACAAAACTTGAAAATAAAGACATAAAATGAAACTTTAGCAGAAAAAAAGGCAAGTGTATAGAAAAAAAAGATACACACACACACACACACATCAAAAACCAGATTCCTGAAGCAGGCATTGTGGTTCATCAGGTTAGGCTGCCGCTTGGGAAACCCACATCCCAAACTGCAGTGCCTGGAATTAAGTCACAATTTTGCTTCTGATTCAGCATCCTGTTAATGCAGACACTGGGAGGCAGCAAGTGTTAGAGTTCCTCTCACCCACATGGGAGACACAGAGTTCTGGGCTCCTGGCTTTAGCCTCACCCAGCCCTTGCTGTTGCGGGTATTTGGGAAGTCAATCAGCGAATGGAAGAACTCTCTTTCTGTTCATCCCTCTTTGCCATTCTGCCTTTCAAATAAAAATAAACTTAAAACAAAATCTGGGGCTGGTGCGGTGGCTCACTTGGTTAATCCTCCGCCTGTGGTGCCAGCATCTCATATGGGTGCCGGGTTCTAGTCCCAGTTGCTCCTCTTCCAGGCCAGCTCTCTGCTGTGGCCAGGGAGTGCAGTGGAGGATGGCCCAGGTGCTTGGGCCCCTGCACCCGCATGGGAGACCAGGAGGAAGCACCTGGCTCCTGGCTTCAGATTGGCATAGTTCCGGCCGTAACAGCCATTTGGGAGGTGAACCAGTGGAAGGAAGACCTTTCTCTCTGTCTCTCTCCCTCACTGCCTAACTCTTTCTGTCAAAAAAAAAAAAAAAAAAAAAAAAATCAGATCCCTGGAACAAGTCACTCAATATTCTATCCACCACATGCCAATTTTCCAACAACACCCTGTGCTTGTGTCCTGCATCCTTCTAGCACAGCTCTGCACAAGAAGCATGTCCACAAACCATGCTAGAGGGCAGAGGTGGCACATTTCAAGTTCACAAATTAAAATTTACCATGACATTTTCAACTGCAATTACACTTTCAAAGGTAAGAATTCTACCTACAAATTCATTACCTGAAAATGTACCACTAAGTTAAGTTATTTGTATGGACTTTTAGTAATTTATTATTTAGAGAAATAAAATAATGATGTACTTTGAGGAAAGTTCAAATAAATGGGTAAAATTTAGCCTAGAGAACAGACTGAGGCAATATGATAGCTCTTTTCAAAAACCTGATAGAGTGTCATGTGAAAGATGAACTATACTTGTCCTCTAGAAATCCAAGGAATTTGCAACTAAGAGGAAGATACATTTTGAGGCAATGAAAAGCCACATGAAAGGAAGTACTGCATCTATGTTGTCCCCGTGGATATATGAAGTAATAGAATCCAGAGTTACTGGCACATAGGTTCTCCTTTTTTTAAAACATTAACCAACTAAATATAGGAGCTTTCCAAGAGACACAACGGCTCAAAGACTGAATAAGCTGCTTAAGAGGTGGTGAACTTCTTAGTCACTGGAATATTACTAAGCAAACGCCAGATGACCACTGGTCAAAGCTACTGTCAGAAGGAAGCAAGTACGAGGTGGTCAGTTTAGCTTGATGAACATTCAGGCTGCCTCAAACTCAGATCCTGGAATTCTAAAAACAAATTGAGAATATCAAAGTTTCAGATGAGGAAAAGTCTTTTTGGTTACAATCTCAAAAACGCATAAAATTTATCAATCAATATATATAATAAAAGGGATAATTTACCAATTTTTTTTAACCAACCTTAAAGATTTCTCAACAACTTGGGTACGATAAACTTCTTCCTGGTCCAAATTTATAGTACAGAAACAATCTCTCATTTTGTTGGGTCCAAGATATGGCAATAAATTTTTCGCTTCACCTGTTGGCACAAAAATTTAAATTGGTGTTAACTATTACCAGCTTTTTATGCTAAGCCTTACAGAATGAACTCAATCTCAAATAACATACTACATGGAGCACATTAAAAAAAGAAAAAACACTAGTGATTACAAAAAGATGGACCTGATCTAAAGCAAACTGGTACGACTGAAGGGAAAAGCTGTGTGTCAAGAGACATGTGACATCACACCACATTACTGCATTCCTACTCCCAGGAAAGGGCAACCCCATCCCACCAGCTCCACTTCAAGACTTCATTCTTATTAATTCCTCTTTCCTGAGTCAGCATTAGTTTTCCTCTCTAGTGGATACTTCCCATCAGCACATAAGCAAGCATGGGAATTTCCCAATTTTAAAAATGTAAACAAACAGAAAAAACAAAAGCTCCCTTGACTTGATCACCTCCTTCTTGTTATCACTCCATTTCTACACTCCCTTCTCAAGAGCACCATCTCTGGTCACCAACCTCATTTCTCACTTTCCATTCATTCTTTGGTCCTCTCCATAAGCTTCTGACCCCACAACGACACTCAAACAACTCTAGCTGAGGTCACTAATGCTTTCCCTATTGCCACATCCAACAATCATTTCTCTTAAGATTTATTTATTTACTTGAAAGAGTTACAGAGATAGAGAGGGAGGGACAGGGAAAGAATTTCCTTCTGCTGGTTCTCTCATCAAATGGCCACAACAGCTGGGCTGGACCAGGAATAAGCCAGGAGTCTGGAACTCTAGGTCTCCAACATGGGTCACAGAGGCCCAAGAACTTGGGCCATCTTCTAATGCTTTCTCAGGCACACTAACCGGAAGCTGGATCTGAAGTGGAGCAGACAGGACTCTAACTGGCATTCAAATGAGATGCCTATATCGCAGGTAGCACTTAACTTGCTGTACTCCAGGGCTGGCACCTCACCAGTCATTTCTATGTCTTCTTCATACCTGACCCTGCAGCACCATTTAACGTGCTCTTCTCTTGGCTTCCACAACACGGTATTCTCCTGTTTTCCTCCTACCTCGTTGGCACTCTTCTGACCGCTCTTCTCCTCACCTCTACATGCTGCAATGCCATGAGGCTCAGATCTGGACCACATTCTCTTCTTCACCTGAACACCTGCAGTGTATGATGTTAATGTTGATGCCTCCCAGATCTGCATCTCTAGGCCTGACCTCCCCAAAATACTAGATATGAATGAATCTTCACCTACCTCCTTGATAATCAGTAGGCATCCAAAATTTAACAAGTCCCAGACAAATCATCTGATCTCCTCCCTTAAAACATGGTTCTTGCCTAGTCTACCACCATCTTCTCTCACTCTCACCATCCTTCCACTATCTCCTTTCTCCCACACCTATCAGGAAACCCAGCATATCTGTAAATAAATTCCAAATATCACTACTTCCCTTGCCTTCACTCAGTATTAACAAGTCCAATGACTGCTCATTTGGACAAATGCGACAGCTTCCTAACTGGTGTCTCTGTTTCCTACGGCCCCTCCTACAATCCATTCTCCATCAGGTAGTGTGATATTGTCCAGGTCAGTCACGCCCCTGCTCCAATACCACACCATTTCACTTGGAATAAAATCCCACTTCTATACTACAGTTCACACAGACCTACTGTCCTCTGAGCTTTCTCCTACTCTCCCGATGGTTCACTTTCTTTCCTCAATCATGCCCTACTTGTTCACACTTAGGACTTCTGTCTAAAACACTCCACCCCAGCATCCTCACATGGCCAGCAGCTTTCTCACTTGGGTCTCAGCTCAAATGTCACTTCCCCAGAGAAATCTTCTCTGATTACTCTAACATAGATAACCCTGCTGACATAATTTATTGGTGTTTTGTTTCCTCGACAGCATTCATAACTACCTAAACTGTTACTTTTTACTTAAATGTTTATTTTCCAGTTCCCACATTCTTAAGTCCTGGGAACTTCTTGCTCCCCAAAAATCTAAAATAGTGGTTATTGTACAGTACACATTTGAGAAGCAATTTTTGGTGGAATGAATATTAAAGATTCAGTAAGTCTACCTTAAAAATTACTGGGAAATATCCCTGGCCTAAAAGGTCACACCAAAGTGTGGATGCTGAAATCAGGTATCAGTGTACTAAGCTAGAAAAGCAAGGCAGTTTAAGGAAATGAACATTATCCTAAGAATCACAAAACTGATGTTTTTCATCTTACTTCTGCTATTAAGCAGCTATATGACTTCATGCAAATCAGTAAGCACAGCTTTCCTCATGAAGATTTGGATAAGACAAATTCAAGTGTCTTTCCATTTACTTACTATAAAATTTAAGATTTCTTAATATTTAAAGAAGTCTATTATACACTTAAGAAACACTTATAAAAAAAGTTCAGTAAACAGAGTATAACAATTAAAATAAGAAAAAGAATGTAAAGGCACCAATAAGATAGTCATTGTTATTACCTCTATCATTTAGAGATCAGGAAAAAAATACAATTACCACTTAAACAGAAAAAACAAATTCATGATTATACCAAGTCACCTAACCTTCTAAATGACTCCAAAATTGTCTAACGTGAGTTAGATGAGTTAGTCCTTAAAAATAAACCAGTTCCCTAACAGAAAAAATACACTTGTATATCTGAATCTGTATCTACCCATTCTCCTTTTTTTCTACATACTAGGTGTCCCTCTTGTTTTCCAAAGCTCATTCATCTACCTATGCTCTCTCTACCCCAATCCCTCCACCACACTCCACAACACTGTCCAGCAATTCTATATTCATTCTTCTTTTTCAGCCTTTCCATATTCTTTGACATCGCCCCTCTGTATAATACAGAGGGCCTAAACAAACAAACAAACAAACAAAATAACTAGGTCACCACACTCTATGGACCTGGATTATAAAAGAATTTGGAAGTAGACCATAATAAAAATGTTCTAGCACTGTCCACTGAACATGCTCTTGTTTCTTTCACACAGGAAGTTTTGAGAAAACATAGTCTACCATTCTGCCCCCTTTTAAGAGAGAAATATAGGGTTATTTTGTGGGTGGAATCAAATAAACTTGAGATTATCAAATATTTACTTGTAATAAATCAAAATTTAGGTTCTGTTAATACAAAAATGTAGCCAACTAGTCACAATAATCTGTACTTTTGAATTCCATTACTGATTCAAATTCAAGTCAAACTACATTAAAAGTTAATTCACCTTGTGGCTGGCATGGTGGTAGAGCAAGTTAGGCTGCAGTTTGCAATGCCAGCATCCCATATCAGAGTGCCAGCTGAGTTCCAGCTGCTCTGCTTCAGATCCAACTCCCTGCTAATGCACCCAGAAAAGCAGTGGAGGATGGTTCAAGTACTTAGGCCCCTGACACCTACAAAGGAGACCTGGATAGAGTTCTGTGCTCCTGCTTCAGCCTGGCCTGGCCCAGCCCAGGCCGTTGAGGCCATTTGGGTAGTGAACCAATGGATGGGAGATTCTTTTCCAACCACTACCCTGTCACTCTGCTTTTCAAATAAATAAAACAAATATTTTCTAAAAAGTTAATTCATCTAATCAATGCCCAGCTCACCAACTAATCATACAAAAATGCTGCTTAGGTCTGGATTCAGGACTTTAAACTACAACTCCAAACTACAGCAGGAATTCATTGACACTTTTTTAGAAATAACATAAATCAAATGTTAGATAACTAATGGTCAGAGACATAATAAAAGTAATGGTATACATATTGTATTTCAAAGCAGAAAACAATGTGTTAAAAGCATACTTGACATCAAGCTACACAAAGACGAAAGTGAAGATCTCTGGAAGATTGTACTTGCTCACATTAGATATTTGCAAAGGGCAGACCCAATTCTAATATATAAGCATGTGCACTGGTGGGAAACAAATCAACTGCCCCTTAAAACTCAAGCTTCTTCAAAACTTACTCTATAATCTCTGCCTCCAATCCTTCCCTTCAACTCACAGTCGTAACAATTCGGCTCCAGATCTTACTTCCTGTTTAGACCCTTAAGAACACTAATAACATTAAGTACTACAAATCAAATGATTGCTTTTCACTTCGCACCTTATTTGACCACTCTTTAGCACCTGACAACACTGACCATTCCTCAGTATAAGTAACCCACTCAAATCATTCTTTTAATCCCTCTTTTAGGCTTTTCATCCTCTAACCGCATCTTAAATGTAAGGAGACTTTCCACCCACAGACCACTCATTTTATCATGGAAGTGGAGGATTAATTTTAGGGTTTTTTTTTTTTTTTAAGATTTATTGATTTATTTGAAAGGCAGAGTCACAGAGAGGCAGAGGCAGAGACAGAAGTCTTTCATCCGCTGGTTCACTCCCTAGATGGCCACAAAGGCCAGAGCTGCAAGGATCCCATATGCACACCGGTTCTAGTCCTGGCTGCTCCACTCCCAATACAGCTCTCCACTATGGCCTGGGAAAGCAGTAGAAGATGGCTCAACTCCTTGGGCTCCTGCACCCACATGGGAGACCTGGAAGAAGCTCCTAATCCCTGGCTTCGGATCAGCATAGTTCTGGGATTTGCAGCCATCTGGTGAGTGAACCAACAGATAAAAGACCTCTCTGCCTCTCAAATAAATAAATCTTTTTTTAATGTGATATTATAAACAATAAAAATATATTAAAAACAATTTATCAACACTGTTTGATAATATTATAATTTTTCTCAAACTATCTGCAGTTCATTGAACGAAGGCCAGCCTCCAGGAGAATCAGGTTCTATCTACATCTGTAGATTTGGAGGATTAATGCTAAACATCCATTTCAACCTCCTTTAGTGTATGCTTTCTTGTACTGCAAAGAATACAAAGCTAAAAATTATGCTTCTAGGCCTCTCTAATAGGTAGGGCTGGGATGTGATTTAAATTCTACCAATCAGATGCACTCACTTGAAGTCTGGAGGACAAAAGAAGAGAAGGGATATTGAGTTTAGGTTGCTTCCACTACCACACACTGTCATGGAGATATTCCCATTCTGCGCAAACATTTGCAAAAGTCCTGGTAGTCAATTCTGTCACGGGTTTTTATGAATATTAAGAAGGGAGGTGTAAAGCACACATTCTGCAGTACAAGTGTGGCAAGTATGGCTTAGATTTAGAGCCAGCAGCACTGACAACAGTTTACTGATGAGGATGGCTGCTTGCTGATAGCTATTTCCTAATAGCAGCAGATTCCCACTCACAGTACAGATGGCAAGGTTCTAAGACAAGCAGCTAAATTACAGCTTCCCAATTCTGCAGGGGCCTTCCTGATCCTACGAGGTGGTAACTCTCTTAGTACAGCTGCAGAGTGGCTTTTGAATGTCATTCCTGAACAGTTAATCTAAAATGTTTTTTCATTCTTTCCAGCAATTCTTTAAGCCACTTAAAATCTTTTACAAAATCTCTGCTGGAATTGATACAGCAGACTTTTTGTTAGAAATCCCTTGTTTCTAACAAATTAGAAAACCTTATCTCATATTACTGATCAACAGAGTTTTGTAAATCTGTCAGCTAAATGTGGCTATCTGGATCAAATACGGCCTCAGAAATGATGAAACAATTTTCAACTGAAAACTACTTCTATTGTTCCTCAGTGAGTTGACAATGTAGCACACTCAAAAGGTAAATACTTCAACTTGGGAAATGGAGACAAAAGCATCTTAACTCTATGTACAGTTGCATCTGCCTTTAGAAAATATTTCTTCATTTTCTGCTGTAGCATTTGGATGTCCTTTTAAAAATATGTATTTTAAGAATATTACATTTTCATGAATTTGGGGATACAAAATTTTTAACATTTCAAATCATGTACATCATTCTGGGTTCCTCCATCCTATCATTAAATTTATAATTTATATTTGTAAACTGACCTGAAAGTATTCAGACTAAAGTATTTAAGATATTCAATACATTGAGATATGACACTTGAGCAAGAAAGCTGACATAATGTGGCACTGTGGCACAGCAGGTTAAGCAGCAGCCTGCAGTGCTGACATCCCATATGGGCACCAGCTCATGTCCCAGCTGTTCCACTTCCGATCCAGCTCCCTGTTAATGAACTTGGGAAAACATCAGAAGATGTCCCATGTGCTTGGGCCCCTGCTACCCACATGGGAGACCTGGAAGAAGCTCCTGGCTCCTGACTTCAGCCTGGCCTAACTCTGACAGTTGCAGCCACTTGGGGAGTGAATCATCAGATGGAAGGTATCTATCTCTGTTTCTCCCTTTCTCTCTGTAACTCTTTCAAATAAATAAATCTTAAAAAAAAAAAAAAAAGAAAGAAAGAAATTTGAAACAATGAAAATGACTTTTACTGGCATTTGAATAAAATTAATAAATGTTTTTAAAGCTCATCCTTCACAAAAATGCTATGCATGTCAGGATACTGCAATATGCAAATCAAATATTTGTTCAACAAAGGCAGCTCTATATTTGCTTATATGTCTTATAAGCAAATCATGTAGATTATATTTATAGCTGTCACTATTTCCTTCAACAAAGAATCAAGATCAGAAGGCTGATCACTGACAAACAATATTTCCTCTATGAAAGAAAAAAGGCTGGCATTCAAGTACAACTTCCTTTAATCTGCAACACCACCTTTTCTTGTTGAATTCGTAACTGGTAGTTCTAAAGCACTTTTCTAGTTTACATTACAACTTATAACATTAACTAATTTTTTAAAAAGTCTCCTCCGCTAGGGGCCAGTGCTGTGGCACAGTAGGTTAAGCCTCCACCTGCAGCACCAGCATCCCAAATGGGTGCCAGTTCAATACCCGGCTGCTCCACTTGAATCTGCTCCACTTGTAACCCAGCTTCCTGGGATGGCCTAGGAAAGCAGTGGAAGATGGCCCAAGTGCTTGGTCCCTGCAGCCACATGGGAGACTCAGGTGTAGCTCCTGGCTCCTGACTTTGGCCCAGCTCCAGCTGTTGCAGCCATTTGGGAAGTGAACCAGTGGTTGGAAAACCTCTCTCTCTCTCTCTCTCTCTCTCCCTCTCACTCCCTGTATCTCTGACTCTCAAATAAATAAATAAATAAATCTTAAAAAGAAAAAAAGATGATGATGATGATGATGAACAGAATAATCCTCTTTAGGCATTTCTTCGCTTTTACAAATAAACTCCAAGTAGGCCAAGAACACATTCAAACTACACAGCAATGGTTTGCCCTGCCATGAAATGTAATATTCTCTTTCTCACGTGTGACAGCAATTGTTTTTCCACTTCATACATATCTTAAACATAAGTAAAACACTGTTAAGCTTTGATCCACATCCTTTACACT